TTCCATACCACTGTTTTTCACGACTTCACATCAGCTCTGCAGCTTTTGAGATTCATTTATTCTGAGTCCAGTTTAACTGAAACACCACAAAGCTGAATTTTCTTTTCAACACTGGATTCTGCAGACCTTGTGGATAGTCTGTTTTCTCACTGGTGAGAACTCTTGTCTTATCCCATCTTCCAGTCTTAAGACAGCCAGCCACCTTCCCCATCGCAGTGGGAAGGAAGAAACAAGAGAAACTCATCTCTTTCTACTGTACATGTATAAAACTTACCTCCTCCTTCCCCAATCCAGCCTGCGTAGCAACATTAAACCATGGTGAAAGTGCTTATCTGCAAAATTGCCAGGGTTTTATGATTTTTACCTTCACAACCCACCAAGTATTTTTTTAAAGAATGCAACAGAAGACTGACAGCAAGGAGATTGGGAAGTATTTGAAAATCTACTGCTTTTATTTACATTTATACAAACCACCTTCCCTTACATAGCTTCCCATCATGACACTTTCAGGTTAGACATCCAAAAAAATATTTATTTCCTTTTTTTGTGGAATGGGCATGAGGGGGATTTTTGTCACTCTACAACCTTAGGAATGGGGAACACTTAGAGTTCCTTCCCACTTGCACCTAATTATGATTACACACTTGCCTTGGAAACACCAATTTTCTGCCGTGTGTCCCCGGGACACTGCCTTCCCCTCATCCCCAGCCTACGAATGAGACAAGTTTGAGTCTTCCTTTGCTGTACCAGAGGTGAAGTAGTATTTTATATTACCAGCACCGTTTCCTCCTAATTCCAACATCATCCAAGGGCAGCCATAAGGAGCGTAAAATCTGTTAGCATTGTCACTTATTGCCTTGCAGCAAAGTCAGGGGCCTGCAGGGATTTGAAACTCGAGGGATGGCAATGGAGACAGCAAATGTCATGCCAGTATGCTTTCCTGCTGGAGCAAGGCAGGTGGCAACGACTTCAACGAAGCAGTGGGAAAAAGCCCTGAATGACATTGTTTGCCCTGTTGGTCAGCTGGATGAAAGAGGATGCAGATCGATTGGGTCATTGAGGTCTTTGCATTTTGAGGTCTGCTGATCACAGCTCAATTTCCAACCGCTTCATGAAGGACTGGGAGTTGGAAACTCTTTTTTTGTTAC